AATATAAAAGGCTCTAGAGGAGTAAAAAACCAGGGCGTGAAACGGCAAAATGAGATTCAGGCTCTGCGCTTCCTCTTCCCATCAATAATCCATCTCTTCCTGACCTGTGGCTTCTCCTCTTCCTTTTGTATGTAAAAATGTTCTGTTTTGAAATAATGAACAACCCAAGGAGCGTTATGACTCACCCTCAAGAGAGCTCGGCTTTGCTGCCTCTCCCTCGCTCGGCAGCGCTAAGCGGGGAGTCCGAGCACATCCCGACCCCCTCCAGCTTAAGGTCGCTCCGTCTGTTTTCCGTTGAGCACGGCATTAAGCGGGAGAAATAGGGAGCATTTTCCTGCACGCAGAGCCCATTGGAGGAGGAGAGGGCATCTTGGGGTTATGTGTGGGCAGCTGTAGCACCCTTCTTAGCCCAACTTGCTGTCTTCATGGTTGTTCCCTAGCTCTGTCCCGGGGGCTCCATCCCATCCTCAGGCCCAGCCCTGTGCAACTCAGAGCAAAAGGTGCTTTTGATCTGAGCCCTCTTGGGCTCAGTGCCTAGAGCCTCACCTTGCTATTGCTGCTTGGTTGGTTGGTTGTGGCATTTTGGAGCTCCAGAGGACACGGAGAGACCCCAGTCTCAAGCCTTCAGGATCCAGCTGTGCCAGCACCAAGGAGCATGCTCTGTTTCCCGGGATTCATGTCTATCTGTTTTTTTTTTAAATTATTATTTTATTAAAGGAATAGATCCTCTGTCATCAGATAACTTCTAGAGGATGCTCTTAACTGTCAGTCTCGTACAGCCTTATTATTTTTAATATCGCACCACTGCGGGAGTGTTTGGCTGGGAACATTCACATATCGACTCGTGTCTTCTTTTGTTGCCGATATTAAAAAAGAAAATCCCTTTCRCCTCATTCTCCTGCGCTGAAGGAAACAAAAAGTCGAGACAAGAAGATGCTATCTGACCCTTGCTTAGGTATCGAGATTATTTCCAAGCATTGCAGAGCCAGTTACTAACTTATAAAAGGGATGCATGTATGCACAAGTATGCATGGTGTGAAGCTTCCCTCACTAGTTTGATGCCTTCCTGTTGTTATGTATAACAAGGGAGCTCAGCCATGCCCTGGGTGTCTCTATGAAGCCAGTAGCCAACCATGGCCAGCGCTAAACAAAAGAGCATCCTGGAAAGGTGCTACGTGGCATTAGACCTTTCTCCGTTATTGAGGCAACATCACGGCCATTTGATCCTTGCTGGAAAAAGGAAAGAATTCCTTAACATTCCTCTGCAACAAGTGTTCAGCCCCGGAGCCGTTTAGCTGTGAGGGCTCCGTGCTGGATGCGCCCGGCTCTTCCTGTCGTTATCGATGAAWCGGGAGCGAACGCCGCTTCCCATTTGCTTATTTATTGATAGTTTTGTTTTGAGGCCCTGCAAAACTTGATCTCGGCACCAAGCGTCGGCAGCGTACGCAGAGCAGAATAATAGATAACCGTGATTTGGTTACAAGGCAATAATTTAAGTGGACAGGTTTAGTTGATAACATAAAACATGAGAGAGGAATAGGATCAGTTTATAAATGTCAGCAGAACCCCTGAGAGTGAATCAGTGCCTCAAAGCTGACTCCAGGGCTGTTATTCCAGCTAATATATTATAAGAAGAAATAAACGGAGGTCTGGAAAAAAAAATCTGCCTGGCCAAGATTAAAAGAATGGGGCTATAAATTAAATTCTTCCTCGATGTCACTTTAAGTATCTTCCAAGACGGCCGGAATATGTCCAAACCAGAGGGATGCRAAGAGGCCTCGGGAGCCCCATGGGCTTTTGGCCTGATGATGCTTTCCAGCTTTTCCAGAGGGCCACACGGATGCTCAAAGATCATGGCTGGTACTGGTGGATAAAGGAATTAAATTGACAGGGAGAATAACGTCGTAGTAGCATGTTGCCACCGGATCGGTGTCTCCCGCTTTGAAAATGAGCGTCCTAGCTCTGCTTTGGCRTTTATTCCCTATAAATACGTCGGCATTTGTGCAGCGCCACGGGTTTGCCGTCCTCAGAGTATATTTCTCATGTCGGATGTTATCTGTTATTTTTGGCTGTTWCCTGTTATTCATTTGGCCTGAAACGAATCCAAGGTGAGTTTTGGCATTCTCGACTCGAGGGTTGTGTGGCAGCAACACCAGCCCATCGGCCACTCCAGCTAGTGTGGGACAAGCGCAGGCAYTCGGGTTTCTTTATTTTAAATGATACAGATTTATTAATTCCATTATTACCCCCTTGTCCCAACATTCCTATGCAGTAACAGGTTAACTCTGCAGCCTCAAATAGCATCTCTGCTTACAATGCAAAACTGTGTTGATAAGCTTACTTTTATTSTCCTTATGTATCAAGGAGATAAAAGGACCTGAAATTGCCAAAATCTGGGATTGTTTATGCGTTCTTAAATTGAGTTTCAGTTCCCAAATGCAGCTTGATACAAATAAGTAAAAATGAAATCCCATAGTAAAAAAAAAGCTGTTAAGAATACAATTCTATATCAAGAGAATGGGAAGCTATATAACTGCTTACATATGTATAGATCTGGTGGATGCGCCTAGCTGTTGAATAGGATCAAATTATAGGAATCAAAGAGAATCAACTATTTTTAAGGGATATGTCTGGAAGCTGCATATTGAACAAGATGAAAATTCAGGGTTCCCAGCTTGCTCATTTAAATCAGCAGTTTTAATCACCTCCGTCATGTCAATCCAACCTGAAACCCACTTCACGAATAGCGCTTAAGAAACCTCCGAAACGGAACAAGAGCGGAGACCTCATCCTGTCGCAAACGCCTTGCATATTTTAAGCGACTGCCCAAATCTCGTTGCTGGAAACAGGGCTGTCGTGGCTGATCTCTTTAATAAAGCAATATGTTTGTCCTGCTGTGGCACGGACCTGCGCCGGAGCCGCTGAGATTTCAGCTCGCGAGGTCGGCGTAGCCTCAGTCAGATTGCATTCAGGAAAGCGGGAGGACACGGAGGGAGGAAACGTTTGGGTCTTCTCGGGTGGCAACGTCCTTAAATCAGCGGCGCYGCGTTTCTAAGCTGCTCCACGCTGGGATTCACGTTCCCTTTTTATTTACCGCTTGCTGAAAATAGAAGCTCGGAGAACTGGTCACATGGGAGTCGTTCAGGCTACTGGAGGCTGCTCCGTTTCCTTCCCTTTTTATGTTTCTTTTAAGTAAAGCCCATCAGCCTCGTTCCTCTCCCCTGGCAACCGAGTGAACTAATGTGTCCGGATGCACGAAGAACATGAAAGCTAGAATATACTGTCCTCTTCTAACAGGGACGTTTATTCCTAGCTGCATTTGATAAGTCAGGAATTGCTTCAGAAAATCCAGTGACTGCAGCCGGGGCTGACTGAGTGTTTCTCACCCGGGGGTGAAAGCCACAYGCCAACTTTTCCCTGCTCTGCCTCCCAAGCTAAGTGTCATACCTGTAGAAGAGGAAGACATCCTAGCGTACTCATAATTGCATGTTATGCTATTTTATGCGTTTTCTTTTGCCTGGTGTCCCCAGCCTTGGTGTCTTCTGAAACACACAAGTTCGTTTGCACCGGTCCTTTGCACAAAATGTTTACCATCCTGTTCCCGAAATCCGTGACGGAGCTGCCCCGTTGAGGTTGCCAGCGAGGGGAATGTCTTGGCCAACGCAGCGAGTCTCTGCAAGGTTCCCCTGGAAGATGCTCCTCTCTAGACATCCAGATCAAAGCTCCAAAGCACAACAAATAATGGAGCCTGCTGGGGCAGGAGGATCGCTGGGGGAAGCTTGCCAAGGGATATCTGCCGCATCCTTGCTGGCACGTGGAAATGCCACACTTAGTTTGTCCCAGTGCTGGAGCCCGTGATCAGCAAAAAGTCCCTTTGGTCTTGAATAGGTGGAGCAATGCAGATGTTCCCTAGATTAGAAGATTTTGTATGATGAGAACACATCTTTCTTGCAAGAAATCCTTCAACATCCTTGCCTTATTTCCCTGCGGTAGGAAATGCAATCTGTCTTGTACATGCTGTGTTACTTTATCCTAAGCATCTTTTTTTAGGTTAAAAAGAAAAAGATAAAGATAAAGGAAAGGTTGGATAGGGAATCCTCATAGAGAGGAGCATGAGCAGCTGTGAGTCTGTCTGAGTAGGGCTGAGATCTCCCCGTTCACTCAGCTGTGACCCTGCTCTTATTCTTGAAGGTCTTTTCCAACTGTAATGATTCTGTGATTAGAAAGAGCAGAAGTGGACTCAAGGCAGTGGAGTTAATTGTTGCCATCTCTCTGTATCTCTGTACCTGTGCCATGGTTGTCCCTCATGACATATTTTGGGTGTAATAATTGTGACATTCTCCAAGAGATAACCTGGATAAGCGCTCTGAATTTCCCATCTTTTATGCAGTTGCGATCAGACCTTAATGTTGTATTTTAGTGATGAACTATGTCTTTTAATAAGTTTCCAAAGCAGCACAATGCCATAGGGGGCCCCTTGGTATTCAGAGTGGCTGAGGGATCACCTGATGTATGCTCTGATTTCATCTTGTGCATTTTATGCCCTCTACTCATGCCCAAATAGCCTGAACAAGTCAACTCCTCATGATGATTTTCAATGGTTTCTTGGGCAGCGGTGCCCTAAGGTCAAATCACTACTTAATGGAGATGGGAGCCCATGTTCTCCTTGGGAACTTTGCCTGACTCCAGGCCTCTCCTCCGCCAACGCCCTTGGAAATGAAGCCAGCAGCCCGGCCGGAAGGGCACGTGGCTGGGGAAGAGCGTTCAGGCAGGTCAGGGGGTTCTGGAAGGTTGAAATTGCCCCAGTGGCCAAGGRGCATTGCTGGAAGGCCGAAGGGAAGAGTGGCCAGCAGCGAAGAGCCCTGCTCGTTTTCACAATACCGCGGCTCTGACGTGCCTTTGAGGCCCTTTTTCTTGCAGAGAAGTGTGTGACTTCCCCGCATGCGTGCAGATCTTGAAATAATGCCTGTGGCTTAAAATAATCTAACCTTTGTTTGTAGGTCAAGCTGTTCCTGCAGGGTCGCATGTACGATTAAATCTGCAGACGGGAGAACGAGAAGCCAAACTCGCAGGCGGCGAAAATGGAAAAAGTGACGTGAGAGAAGAGAAAAGGAGGAAAAGGTACAGTAATGCGAAGTGCTTGCTGCCTGGCTCTGCAGAGCTAGATTGACTGCAGGTTTTGACTGTCTTGGGTGTTTTAATTAGATGCCAGGTTCCCCACTATGCGGAATTCCTATCTCTTCCAGAGGCTTAATTGCAGATTTAAGTGTTTGGCAGATCTGAAAGTCAAGCCCTATCCTCTGCCTTCCCTTTGGGCACAGTTGCTCTGAGCAGGTATTGGGACCGACCTTGGTAGCTGTGATTTGGAGCAAAATGTGCTGTGTGGGTCTCCRAAGGACAGGTGTTCCTTGGAGCTGAAGCCACCAGGGCAGAGGTGGGGACGTTGATTCTGCTGGCCCTAGGCAGCTGTGTTGTAGGCTTAAGCTCGCTCTTGTTAGTGGGCTTAAAGCATTGATTTGCACTTCAGTCGTTGCTGACGTTCTCCTTAGATCTCACAACTCTTGCTGTGCCGTTTATTTTTTAATTTGTTAACAAAAAGAAAATCACTTGCGCTGACCTTCTCCTTGGCACGTTCACAACAAAGACAGGAGCTTTCTTTCCCCAGCTGCGTGAGATCTACCATCGYTTTCCTTTCTCCCCAGTTTCCTTGTGTTCAGAGTAGAGAGAAGCTCTAACAGTGCTCCAGCCTTTGGCTTTTCCTTTTGCTTTTCCAAGAGTTTTGCTAGTCAAAGATAGATAAGATAGGGATCTTATCAAGATAGATAAGATCCCTCAACCAATGAGATCAATATAAAGTGCATCCCATTGTGCCGCTCTCTGATTTCTCCTTGGGATTACCCTTTCCCTAACTTGGTCTGTGTATGACCATCATACACAGACCTTCAGCTGTAGGTCTCTGTAGATCCACTGGTCCAGGGGTTCCAAGKACTGGAAGCCCTTAGCACTGTTCTGGGGTCACAGTGGTGCTTTTTTGCCAGTGGAAAAAAAGCTTGCCTGTTTTTTTTTTTAGTTCCCATATGCAACTCAGAAGCATAAATTAAGCAGCTATTTTTATTGTGTGCTCAGAGTTGAGATTCTGGATCAGCATGCAGATTATGAAGCCTTTTATGACTGCCAGGGTGAGGTATCTACCAACCAGACAAGAAATACAGCATTCAGCCTAATCTTCTGTCGAGCGTGGAGTTTTTCTTTATGTTGTAGATGAGATACTTGGAAATATAGTGCTTTTAACTTCGTTCCTCCTGATACTATCCATTGTTATTGTATCACAATGAAAATAATAGAAATAAAATTGTTCACTCACACAATGTTTTGTTTTGTTTCCCCTGCAAGGCTGGGCAAGATGGATATTGACTCAAATTCATTCACGTCACAGGAGCTCAAAAAGGCTTTGGCTAAAATGAAGGAAAGTGAGAAGACAGAAAGAATGGTAAAGAGAGTTCCCTAATYCTAAATCAATGTACAAATACTAACACAAATGCCCTATGAAGCATGTCTTGGAAATGTGTTGGTTAAAGAAGTTGCTTGGGTCGGTACTGTGCACACCAATTTTCGGTGAATGTGGGCATAAAATACTTCCWCTGCTCTACCAGGGTCATATTTCTTGGGAAACAGTCACCTCTTTTGTTATTAATCCTGTCTTTTCTGTAAAAATGGACAACTAGACGTCATTTTTATTCATTTCAAACTTAAAGGCCTCGTGTTGCAAGCTGTTTCTTTTGTCTACAATTACTTGCATTGTAGACAAACCCTCACCATTCACAGAATTTCTTTCTAATAATTATCCCATGGACTGGCAGTGGAAGAGGGGCTGCAGCAATGGAATGGGCTGGCAGAGCAGTTTATCGACAGAGCAGCCATCAAATGATGATACTCTCTATTTTCACTCAAGTGAGTGGGTTCTCAACGAGTGAACTAGACACATAAGCTCCACATAAMCATCCAGACAACAGGTTTCTTTCTTGATATATCAATGCTAAAGGGGGAACTGTCAGATCTTACCTGTGAACCAAAAGCAGCTGCATTCAGGAAACACAGTGCTGAGTTGTTTCTCACCTAAGTTTTCCATTCAGGTTCCAGAGTGATTAGACCTCTGTTAGTAATACAAAAAAAATTCCTGCAAACTCTTCTGTAGATCCATGGGCTGATTTCCTCTCCATTTTTTGTGTTGCCCCTTTATCCATTATTTTCAGTTATTTGTTCAACTGCTGCTTGGTTCACAAAAATGTCTGCAAAATGCCCAAGTGGAATGAATTTCAGCATAGTGGTTATTTATCTGGCAAGTTATCTTCAGTTCATTATCCTCCTTTGACTGAAGAAGTACAAAAAGTATCGTACAGCTAAGGCTCTTGTATTTTGGAATCACTGACRGTGACAAGTCAATGGACAGGACACCTTCTTCCACTGGTTGGTGGGATTCAGGAGAGGGCTCATAATTTAAGTGTTTCGTCTCGTGCATTGGGTATTGAAAAACAAATGGCCCTGGTGAAGCAAAGGTTGAAGTTTATTTACATAAGCTATTGGGTGGATGCTTTCAAATCAGTGAGTAAGACTTAGACTTGACTAGCTCGCAGAAAAGCAGCGCCGTTATTTCTATCAGCTGTTCTATTCTCAGCAAATTGGTGAGCATACCGTTGTTACTTGGGTTTGTCTTGATGAGGAAGTTGTCTCTTGGGTTTGTTCTTGACCTGCTGAAGTCAGTGACAAGTCTGCCAGGAATGGTACGGAGAGAGGCGTAAACTCTGGGACACTTTCCCGTTTCGGAAAAACGAAAGAGAAGAACACCAGGGAATTCTGTGCGTAAGACTTCCTTCTCAACTAGTTGAACAGAGACTTTCACCCGTGGTTGTCAGCTCATGACCGATCAGTTTGAGAGCCTGCAGTCTACAGTAAAATGAGATACTTGTGCTCGCTCAGTGCTTTTCAGGCTTGGAGCTGGTCCCCAGGACACTGGCAGTCACTGGCAATCTAGTGACTGGATGATGGATGATCCCTCAGATTGATCACAGCCTTTTTCCCTTCTGTCATTTAAGGATATTTCCTTGAGCCTTAGCTCCTCCTTGACATTGCCTCAGCTGGAGTAAAACTGAGGTAAAAGTCAAGGTCTTTGAGACCCAGAAAGTCTTTTTTTTTCACCTGCCCAGCTCCTGGGCAGCATTTTATTTTCCAGATTATTTATGTAGCAGCCAGCAGTATTGATAGCAGGACTTTTGGAAATGGGTATCATTTAAATGCAAAAAGTTGTGATCCTCTGTTACATGAAAATAAGCCTTATTTTAAAATAAAATTGTTAGAATAGCTATTGTCCCAGCAACGGGGCTAAAAACAGCTACCTCTAATGGACCTAAAGTACTCCATTAAAAATAACTCCTGCAGGGGACAAATTGAAGCAACTACATCAAAGTAAATCGAGGCAGACCGGGCATGTTGCAGTGTGTGCTTTTGCAAAAGCAATTCTTGTGTGGTAGGAGTGGGAATAGTGTTCTGTGCGCCTCCGTGTCACCTATAGTAATTGGCCCAGTAGTTATTAGTTATAATTGTACAGCTGCCACTGGATTGTCAGGGCTTTACATCTATGATAGCTTGAGTCCTCAGGTTTTATTCATGCATCCTGGAAAGGGGCAGTGTTTGTCACTGGAGTACATTAGGTAGGAAGGAGCATTGCACATGAACCTCTGCTTAAGGTCACCTGTTAAGAACGTCCCTGAGTATTTCTGTTCATGACAGACGAGCTTCTGAAGGGACATCTCCTTCTCCTACCCTTGGGGTAGTTCATCTTCAGCCTGGTCTCTCCCTACCTGCCCCAGAATCCTTGTTGGTGCTCTCCTGTATCTCGGGAAGTCTTCTCCTTGCTCACTGTGTGCCTTTACCAAAGTTTTGTGGTCTGTCAAGGCTTGTAGGGTGCTGTTTGTACAAGGAGGACAGGCAATGCTGCAAAATAAGCTAACTGCCAGCAGAGCCCTGTGGCCCTGGGCTTCAGCCACTTGCTGTCTTGTAGCTAGTCCTTCAACTTTGCTTTCTGACAGCTTCTGTCTTCTGGCCCCAATAGCAAATACATATGTTTCAGTGAGAGATAAAGTGATTCTGAAATGTGTTAAGTGATTGGGATGAGGAGGGATGCTTTGCCCACATCAGAGGAGACGCTGATGTCACCACTGGCTGGGCTAAACATTGTGGCACTGAATCGCAAAATAATTCTGGAGTTGGAAGGGACCTCCGGAGGTCTCCAGTCCAACTTTCTGCTCAAAGCAGGGATGTCTGTAAGATCAGAGGAGGTTGCTCAGGGCTTTATCCAGTCAGGTTGTGAAAACATCCACTCCCAGGCAAACTGAGCACAGCAGCACGCCCTGCTCTTGTGCTTTATGTCCTTTTGAAAGGCATATAGGATGGTAGAAATGCTGCACAAATAGGTACTGGCTAAGCTTCTTGGGGATTTCACGCTGATAACCAAGGGCTTTATTTTACTGACACTTAGGCTGATAGGCTGCTTAGAGGTGCCAGGGCTGCTCTGCTCTCGTTAGGACTGCATTTGGCAGGATCTGCCCTAGACACTGCAGAGCTCCTTGTTGCAGTGTGGGACCTCAGGGTGCCATGTCCCTGTGTTAATGCAACGGCATCTACAGCAGCCGTTCAGCTGAAGCGGAGATGGCACATGAGGAGGTAGGAAGCACCACAAGCAGCCAAGAGGGTGGACCTGAGCAGAAGTCCTCTCTGACTTTGCATCTGACACTTTCTCTCAGGAGAGTCTAGGTACCTTCCAGCTCTGCCCCTGCATCTCCAGAGCATAGCAATAAATCCAGTTGCTGAGACAGCCGCGCTCACCTTGTGAATAATGCAGCGGCTGGGGGTGGTTGCTGGGAGGACTCGTTCCCCCAGGACTGTTTTCTCACCTGCCTTCACATCTGCTTTTCGTCTGCCATTCCCCAGGCCCGCGAGGAAGAGGTGAGGAAGAAATTTCGTCCCATAGAGGAGCTGAAGGAGGAGTTTGAGAAGCTGAACGTGAAGCTGGAGACAGACTATGAGATCATGGTCAAACTAATCAGCAAATTCAACAGCTCTGCTTCGACGCTGGATGAAAAAGTAGCGGCACTCTATGACCTTGAATATTATGTTCATCAGGTAAATAAAAAGCAGTAACTACAATGTAAAATCCAAGGGATGTGGCATCATAATTGTCTTTTTTTTTTTTTTTATTAGTGTCAGATAATACAAGTTGTTTAACTGTTGTGATTTGCGGTCAATGTGAGATGTCAGAGGGCTACTGCCAGCTTCTTTTATGTCCAAGTTCTCTTATGTACCATCATGCTTAACAGCAGTGAGCAGTTACCTGTGGGCTAGTATTCCCTGATGTGTTGTCCATTCTAAGCCTTTCCCCACTCACCTCTTCTCTTTTTCTTCTTTACATGCTGGTTATTTCACAAAAATGGGTCTTAATTGCCATTTTTAGGTGAGTATAGGGTGACTGCTTTATGCAAATATATATATATATTTATATTCTCTCTTCTGTGAAAGGCATCAGTGCGTAGGTAGGTCTCTGTGCATCAGGGCCGATGTCAGAAGTGCCTGGAGGCTCAGGCACACAGAAGGTTGCAGAGCATCCACAGAACCGGGCTAACTGACTGTGCGCRGGGTGGACTATCTTTTCTGAAGTCTCTCTTCTTCATTTTTCCTCCCCAAATGTCTCTTGCTTTGCTGTGCGCTGGCACGTTCCTGCCTCCTGCTTGCTGCGGCCTAGCTGGGCCTGTCACGCATCAGGAACTTGGTGGCATGGCTGGACCTTGAGGGCTCACAGGCTGTGTTGGGCCTTGCGTGGAAGGCCTGGTGGTTCCCCCTGTCCCACCAAGCCTGGTATCCTCCTTCCCAAAACATTTTCCCAGCCTAGCTGGCTTGGTGGCCGTCTTTGCAGTCCCAGCGATGGTTGATGGCTCTCCTGTGTCCTGCCTGGAGGTGATAGAGACGCGGAGCTGGCCGGTCACTGCTCCCCAGGGAGCTTCACGCTTTAAAGTTTGTTGGGTTAGGGCTTTTTTTGTTTGTTTGTTTTCTTCTTCTTTATGATGAATGAGAAGTGATTCTTGCAACAGACTCCATCAGACAAAAATTGAGATTCAAAAAAATCTTGAAAATGTGTTGTCTGTTGCCACCTATATTTGGGAATTGAGAAAGGCCTCTCTGGAACTAGAGCTAGTTGAAAGGGTTTCCAACGAGGCCAGCTTTGCCACAGTGGATGCCACATGAAATCCTCCATGGTGTAGCATTGGCTAATGAGTTTTTTTCCCATCATGAGCAGAAACAAACTTCTAAACCCTGTTTTAAAGCAGCTTTTGAGTTCTTAAAGCGTGTTGAGCCATAAAAGGAGCCCTGGTAGACTAATTTAGGTTGCTGCATGAATTTTCTTATACACCAAGGAGGTATCTCGGGGCCAGTTTGTAGGACCAGTTAAAAGAATAGAGGCTGAAAGGATGAATGTAGATCCCACATGGTCAAGAGCCGACCTCGATGGGCCCGTTGTCCATCTGCTTTGCAGAGGGGCAGCGAGTGGTTGGAGGATGCTCTGGTCTTGTTCCATTGTGGACAGCAGTTGTTCTGTAGCTCCTGGTTCATGCTTTGCTGAAGACCCATAAGACATGGAGCCAAGTAGCTTCTTTRTTCTCTCGAGCATCTTAACTACCTGACTTGTGGCCAATTTTGGGGAAGGCAAGCAGTTGAGATAGAAATAGCTCTAAGCATAAAAATCACTGTTTACTTAAAGAGAGATCGTTCAAACTTGGAAAATATGTTAGTCTGACATGTTCTGCACCATTTGCGGTGTTTATTCTGTATTACCCCATCACTTCAGTCTGTGTACTAAAACTGGAAAGGTCGTTTTACCCAGCTGATACTCGTTTTTATATTCCATTTCCATYTGCAACATATGCTGTTGTCTTTGTGTTTTCCATGAAAGAGAAATGTCGGAATTCTAAAAAAAAAATAAAAAAATCATTGCACAAGCAATTTTGACAATTCTTTAGCGATTCCCCTTTACACTCATTTAAAAATCCTTTAAGAGCAAGATGCATCGCTTTGACTTTGGACTGCATTTGGGTACTTGAAGCACTTTGCGCTGTTTCTCCCAATTTTGTTTGCAAACCACTCAGAGCCCTTTTCTGATGTTCTCTTGAAGAACAGATGTCTGTCGTGATTTTGTCTGGTTAGCCCCGAGTCTGCTTCAAGTTAAAGTATGATGAATTTACTGGAGGAATTCCCACTAGCTTTTTCCCTCATGGCAGTAAGTCCAACGTTGTCTGCTTCAGAAAATTGATGGCACATTCTGCCCTCGGGGAATGTTTCTTGCTCCTCCTTTCAAATAGGGACTGGCTTTTACTTTTCGTGTTCCCGGGAAGTTGCAGACTGTATTAAGGACAAATGCCCGGGTGCCTTGCTGGGAGCAGGAGCTGGGGAGCTGCTGTTGATGTGCTGCTGCTGCTGACAGGCTCTTAAACATTTCTAACTCCTGGCGCCACAATTACAGCTCTGTGTTTGCATTTGTAAAACATAACGGGTCCCTGGGTTCACAGTAATGGTCTGCTCGGGCAAGAATGCTGGGAACTGATGGGTAATTTTTTTTGGTTTTGACTTYGTTGGTTCTCCTGAATTATTGCAACCAGCGTCAAGGAGGGTTTTGATAGCTAATCAAAGTATTTGAATTTTCAGGGATGCTTTCTGCATTTGCTAATAGCCACCTGTCAGCAGGCAGTGTTTCTGCAAACATGACATGCATTGCTCGCAGGCAGGAGAGTGTGAAACGCGAGCCAAGATCTTTCCTTGCTAGTTTTGAGTTGCTTTTAAAACCCCGGGAACAAAGAATGGAACTCAGGGTAAAAAAGAGGGATGCTGTTCGTTCAGAAGCAGGATGGTCCTGACAAGTTGGCGAGGCCTTTGGCAGTGTGTGAAGCTTCATACTGATGGGTTCCCCTGCTCTTCCACAGGTGGACAACGCCAAAGACTTCCTCTCCTTGGGAGGACTTCAGCTGGTGATTAATGGGCTGAACAGCACGGAGGCCGTAATCAAGGAACACGCTGCCTTCGTGCTGGGAGCTGCGCTGTCCAGGTGAGCCCAAGGGTTGGGTGGAAAGGGAGAAGGAGACGTAGGAACTGGGACAGGCTATGTGCTTCTCTCCRCCTCTCTGATGGGTTGATTGGTGATGACAAACCCAAGAAAAACCTTTTCCTTGCAGCCCGTTGTGTGTAATCYGTAGCCTTTATGGGTTTTGCTGTGTGTGCATGTATGTGTTTATAGGTACACACTATGCATTTGTGCGCATAGAGGCTATAGAAGGGTGTTGGACAGGGCCAAAATTCAAGGTCAGAATATGCAGAGTGAAGATTGAGAGCTAGGGCCATTATATCTGCCTATTTCTGTGCCTAAAAATACGATCACGTTCTCCACCGTTATAAATTATTTATCACTTAGTCTAACATACAGTCTAAAACTCGGCGTTTCTTTTGCAGTCTTATATACAATGCAGTTGGTCCTCAGCATGTGTAAATTAATGTGGCTTCTCTGACAGCAGCAGTTATCCTGATTTACACTAGAAAAGCATCTCACTCGTAGTTTGAAATGGAGCTTGACTTGTTGGTCACAGTAAGGTATAGTCTCCCATATTGGAAACACAGACTCTTTCTCCATATTCTGACATATCTTAACATTTGCAACAATATACGTAATTGCTTTGCTGGGTTCTTTGATAACATGTAGACTTTTTYTCCATTTCCTAAAGAGACAATAATGCAAAACACTCTAGAAACACTTAGAGGCAACGTGAAAAATAAAGGGGAGTGTTAAATCACATTTTTCCTGCCTTAGAGAATGTGTCATGATTAGGACTCAAGATAAGTCATCATCCCATGATATGGGATGCATGTATCAGTGGCCTTAAACCACCACTTTGGGGTAGTGTTTCTCACTTAATTGTAAATGCCTCTATTTGGACAGAGACTGCATCTTTTTGAATAGAATTGTCAAATACTGCTTTGGAAAGTTTTAGATGCTTTTTCAGAGAGGGCATTTTGACAGATGGCAATATTAAGTGGCTCAGATGATGCATTATCAGAGAGCTCGGCTGCAAAATGGGAGGAATATTATGCTTGGTTTCTTTCCTTGCTGTGCTTAAGCTTTCTTATTCAATAGACACCTACATGCCAACTTGTCTACCTTGTGCTATGCTGCTAATTTGTTTGTTCATACATTTCCTCAGTTTATTCTGTGTTCAGTTTCAACTGCTGGAGGCATTTCGAGTGCTTCGCTCTACACGTTTGCTGTTGGGTTYCTCTGAGGGGGCTGTTGCTACTTTGTTCCAGCATGTTTGTTCCTAGGAGCCTTGGCCAAACCGTAGGACTTAGTGAATAAATGCCCAGAGGTGGCACAGCTCACTGGGGACCTGATCTGATCTGTACTCATGTGCTGAGTATCCTGCTTTGGATGCACGTGTACTATGTAGGATCCCATAGGTGTTYCCCATCCTATGCAGTGATTAAGTAAGCTGGAATAAGCACAAAATCCACTTCTACCTCCACTTGCACACAACATACTATGTTTTTTTAACTCTGTGTTTTTTAAGYATGGCATTTTTTTTTGCAAGATGAGATGTTAGCATAAGACAAGGCAGCAGGGAGAAGGAGGCCAGTGGAGGAAGGAGCTCAAGCAAAGGGCAAGGCGGTGTCTTCTGCCCATGCAGACTTTTAGCATGTCCTGGACAGGCTGTGACAACTGGCGGCATCAGAACTGAGCCATGTGCGTGTAGGCAGCAATGGCCAAATGGCTTTGTGGCCACCTCCCAAGKCTATTTGAGGAAGACCAGCCAGGTTGGCTCACACCAATGGTTTCTTCCCTTCCTTCAGGCAGTRGTTTCCTGGTGGGTTTACATGCAGCTGCTGTGAAAAGGGTGGTCAGTGTCCTGCCAGTTCCTGCAGTCTTGTGTGCATCAGCCCCCTGAGCCGACCGTGTAGCTGGCCAGTTAGAGAATCAAGCCTGCAAAGGCAGTCAGGACTCCTGCCTCCTGACACAGTCTCTCCTTCAGCGACTTCAACTGGTGCTGAAAGAAGCCGTAGCACATGGGAGTCTGCTGCTGAAGGCAGAGGGTCTCATGTTCTGGCCACCCAGATATTGCTCTGAGGGGTGCTGTCCTACCAGCCTGCACATCCATGCACCTCCAACCAGGAAGAAGGTGACAGGGTAAAGAAGAAATCAAGATTTCATCTGTTGTTTCTCTTGTGCATCCTTCATTTGAGGCATTTTGGGCTTAATCACCAAGTCTGTGACCAAGTCAAACATTGTTCCATCTGCTAGAGTTTTCCAAGCGCTGCCCTCACCATAACTCTGTAACCTTCTCACACCCTCACTGTTTTTAAACCTTTAACAAAATGTTTTCCGTTGAGCAGTTTGCAAAAGTAAACTTCATTTGAACAATCCTCGAGTGCTCTGATTGCAAATAAAAGTTAAATGCACTAACAAAAATAATTGCTAGGCATGTGGGATTGTACATTTAGGTATCCATAATTCACTAACAGTATATGCCAATACACAACATTATCTGGATTTTCAGTGATTGCATTAGCATAAAAGCATGTTAGCATTTATCCAGTGGTACTAACATTTAAATATATATAAGTATGAAATATTAAAAGACAACATTTTTGGAGGCAAGCAGAACTACTGTCTCTAAAATGTTCTTGCGTGTTTTTGAAGGTACACTTTAGTATCTTAGGATGACAATCAGCGTTCGCACCATTGGGTCCAAACATTGCAAAAATGTCAATGTTTTATGCAAAGAGGAGCTATATTAAGCTAAAAAGAGTGCTGATGAGAGACGTGTCTTCTGATGTCCTCTAAGCTATTTACAGGCAGCATTTTCCTTTGTTCTTAGCACAGCACGGCCCCTATGCACAATTTGTAGCTAGATGTTTTCACAAGGCTGGAAATGCTCACCAGAAAGGATTATGTTTGCGATGCTAAACCTCAACTTTTTAAAAAAACTTTGCCACCAGGAAGCATTTTTCCACACCAATAATTTAAACATTTTCCTACTTTGTTATAAAAGGATTTCTATAATCCGTTTACGAGGGGGAAATAATTATATCAAATGCACTCTTGAAGCTTTATCCCAAATGGTCCCCACATACGTCGGGGTGAATTAGAGATGAGGATGGAGAGAAGATCAGCTGTGAGGCCTTCAAGCGAAGAGCAGCAGTTTATAGTTCATGGGGAATAGGGAGGAGAGTGAAAAGTGAGATTGTGGCATGGCCCAAAGCGGGGGTGGAAACTCCCCCATGCAGCAGCATTTTGAGAGGAGAAAAATGTGGTGGAAAACGGCGTTTGGAGCTGGGAGGAAGAGAGGAGTTGAACAGAGGACAGTTGGTCTTGGCAGAGCTCCCAAAGACCCCCGTGTTTTTGTTCTGCACAGGGGTATCTGCTGGTGGCTCTTTTGGACTCGGTGGCATTGGGACCAGTCTCTTAAACCCCAAATGCTTCTCAAACTGAGTAGCGGGGGAAAGGAATCACACTGACAGCCAGGGCTTGTGTCCACCTTGCATCCCAACCGGCAGCCAGGCTGGCCTTGCAGCTGGGTGCAGAGCAGCAGCTCCCCAGCACAGCCTTGCCAGGGACAGAGATGGCCTTCCCAACAAGCCGAAGCTACTGAGATCTCCCTGCTCACAGTTTTAGTCCTGAATATATCAAAAATACATATTTTTATGTGTATATATATATATACATGAATGACTTGTCAAAGACTTAAAATAAACCAATCTCAGCTAAMCTTGGGCAATGTCTCATAAGCACCCTGGAGAGGCCACTTGACATGGCTTGTGTCAGGCTGTTGTCTTCCTTCCTGCTCATTTGTCTTTTGCACTTCCCATGAGATGAACCCCCTTAAACCACAGCACTGCACCCCATGAACATCCCCATACCCTTCACTCACCTGTTGGCAGGTTTAGAGTTTTCCCAGCTTGAGTGAGCCAAGACAGACATGAAAGATGCATGTGCTTCTCAGGATGAGCTTGTAGCAGGGTGCTGTAGATAGGGCTCAACACCGTCATACCTGCTTGTCCGGGTGCTCATCTTCTGCTTTTTCTTATCCTTTCCTTCGGAGCGGGAAGGAGAGGGGAATGCTGTCTCCCCTGCCCCTACCTCATCTGTCATCGTTTCCGTGGTGTCAGCCTTCCCAGCTTGTCTGATCTCTGTCTTCAGGACGTATTTGTCAAGAGGCAAAAGTTCTCCGTTTTAAACAGTTTTGAAAGAAGTCAAGACTTCGCAATGAAGCTGGTTGACACTCGCTGCYGTTAAATAACATTAAGGGAGTGCAAAGTGACAAAGCCAAGAAAATGAAAATTAAAGACTTCGCTTCGATCGGGTCTCTTAAGGACATACGAATTTCTGGKCAGAAACATAAATCTGGTTAGCTTAACAAGCAGTGCCCCAGCCCATTTATTTCAAATCCATCTTCATGTCTGACCTTCCTCCTCCAGCTTCTCTTTTTACATCCTATAGTCTTTTCCCATCTATTCACTTCCACCATTTGCTTCCCTGGCAGCTTCTTCCATTTGCCACCTTTCAGGCAGCTCGGCCTCGATCCCCTGCTCCCTTTTAACTTCTTGCCATGCAGCTTCTCTCCTCTATTTTTATTTGAACTCCTGACTTGTGCGGAGGTAGCAGCTTCGCTGCACTTAATTTGAAATTAATTTGATTGGGTCGCCTCCATTTTTTCCCCCCCTCTAACGATAATGAACTCAAAACTATTTAGCCTTTCCCCATTATAAATAACCTTAACAAAAACTGCAGTGCAGTATGAAACTGTGTTTCATCATTATGTGTAATTGCACTGAGGACGAAATCCCTACACATTTTTCTGGTGTCTGAAATAGAACCAGAAAGTGTAATTAACAATAAAAGCATAAACTGGCAGCTTTGGACTCCCTTCCTGGGAAGGAAGGGAGAGCAGACCCCGAGAGAGGTATCTAAAATCAAGGGTTTGGTTGCAGTTTCRTTTTTGATAATTTAGATGCTGCGCTGGTCTGGGGAAGCTGACAGGGTCATGTGCTTCTTCTTGCCAA